GCCAAAATGACCATGGTGGCTAAGAGGCTTTAGTAGACTTATAGGCACCCTGAATCTCCCTACTAGGCAGTCACTTGATTCACATGATTTGAAAGCTCTGAAATGGTTCAACAGTTTTACAATTATTTGTAAAATAATTACAGATATAAAAAAATCAGTACAGTTGTCTCTTGCTATACATGAGGCATTAGTTCCAAGCCCACCTACAGGTACCAAAATCTGTGCATACTCAGGTCCTATAGTTGGCCCCGCCAAACTTGCATATACCAACAGTCGGCCTTCCCTATACATAGGTTTCACATCTTGCTAATATTGTACTTCCTCCCTTCCTACCTCCCTTCCTCCCTTCCTCCCTTTCCTCCTTCCCTCTTTTCTTTCTTTCTCTCTTTCTCTCTCTCTCTTTCTATTATTATTTCAATAGTTTTGGGGGAGAAAATATGGTACGTTCAATCTGCTTTTGGTTGAAAAAAAAAATCCATGTAAGAGTGGATCTGCACAGTTCAAACACACATTCTCCAAGGGTCAACTGTAATTGAAATGAGAAATTGATAGAGATAGCATTCTGGCTTTTATGATATAAGCTCCTGGAACCCTTACTAGGAAAAACTACCATATATTAAAACGTTGAACAAACCCTCAGCAGAGGTTCCTTCAAACTGGGCAATGCCCAAGCTTGGGTAAAGGTCAAGGGGGCTCTGGGCCTATGTGAACATGCTAGAATTGGGAAACCAGGTTACAAAAGGGAGATAAGAGATATGAAACCTTTCAGATGAGTACAGGTATTATAATGCTACATCTGCACTGTAAGACATGCTGGTGAAGGGATTTAGCCTACACTGCATTTCGCTCTAATGGCCCAATGAGCAGTATTCCTTGTCTTGTCTTGGTTCTGTGTAGTGCTGTCCTCTCTCTCCTACCCAGCCTGGATTTTTTGCTCTAAATTTACACACTCTTAAGCTAAACTCAAACTCCATGAGGTGATGATCTGGTTCAGGTAAATCAGTAAGATGTCAATGCTTAAGAAATAAGAGATCTAGGCGCCGGTGGACTCGATGCCTGTAATCCCAGCACTTTGGGAGGCTGAGGCGGGCGATCACCTGAGTCAGGAGTTCCGAGACCAGCCTGACCAACATGCGGAGAACTCTGTCTCTACTAAAAATTACAAAATTAGCTTGGGCATATGGCGCATGCCTGTAATCCAGCTACTCGGGAGGCTGGAGGCAGGAGAATTGCTTGAATCTGGGAGGTGGAGGTTGCGGGGAGCAGAGGTCGCACCATTGCACTCCAGCCTGGGCAACAAGACGCGAAACTCCATCTCAAAAAAAGAAAAAAAAAAAAAGATATAATCTACCCGGGCATGGTGGCTCATGTCTGTAATCCCAGCACTTTGGGAAGCTGAGGCAGGAGGATCACTTGAGCTCAGGAGTTTGAGACCAGCCTGGGCAACATAGTAAGACCTTGTCTCTACTAAAAATTAAAAAATTAGCCAGGTATGGGCCAGGCACAGTGGCTCATGCCTGTAATCTCAACATTTTGGGAGGCCGAGGCGGGCGGATCACCTGAGGTCAAGAGTTCGAGACCAGCCTAGCCAACATGGTGAAACCCCATCTCTACTAAAAATACAAAAATTAGCCAGGGGTGTGGTGGTGTGTGCCTGTAATCCCAGCTATTCGGGAGGCTGAGGCAGGAGAATGCTTAACCCGGGAGGCGGAGGTTGCAGTGAGCTGAGATAGTGCCCTTGCACTCCAGCCTGGGCAACAGAGTGAGACTCTATCTTAAAAAAAGAAATTAGCCAGGTATGGTGGCACAGGCCTGTAGTCCCAGCTACTCCAAAGGCCGAGGCAGGAGCATCACTTAAGCCCAGGAGTTTGAGGCTGCAGTGAGCTGTGATCACACCACTGCACTCCAGCCTGAAAGAGTATGACCCAGCCTCAAAAAAAAAAAAAAAAAAAAAAAAAAAAGAAAGAAATTAAAAAAGAAATACAATCTAAGGCCCTTCAATATAAGTATTAAAAACTAAGAAAAAAAACCCCTATCTACTGTAATGCTATGTCACTATACATTTCACTTTATGAAGCTAAAAAAAGAAAGGCTGTAACTGCTTAATAATGGGTTTACCTTAACTTCTGTAAAGACAAAATAGCTATGGACAACAAGATGGATAATAATAATCAGTGATTTAGAAAGCTAAATTTCCACTGACTTTAACTTCTGAAACAGTGGTCTATTTTTTTCTTTGAGACAGAGTCTTACTCTGTCGCCCAGGCTGGAGTGCCGTGGCGCGATCTGGGCTCACTTGCAACCTCCACCTCCCTGGTTCAAGCGATTCTCCTGCTTCAGCCTCTTCAGTAGCTGGGACTACAGGCACCTGCCACCAAGCCCGGCTAATTTTTTGTATTTTTAGTAGAGACGGGGTTTCACCATGTTAGCCATGATGGTCTCGATCTCCTGACTTCATGATCCGCCTGCCTCGGCCTCCCAAATAGTGGTCTATTTTTTTTTGCTATCCTCTTAAAGGGTAGACAATAAGTCAGAGTGACTTGTTTTTTGAGCTTGTCCTCGTAACTGTCAAAATGAGAGCTTGAATTTAAAACAAAGCTGACTTTCCAGGAAATCAAGAATTCACAGCAACATAACTTATCTACACATAGAAATTTTCCTTAAGACAATGTATCTGTCACTAAAAATAGCAGATATTTTTACTTAACATTAATAAAATTAAGAGAGGCACTTTAAGAAAAAATGGCCCTCTACATTCATTGCTAAGTGACTTCTATTGCTACACTATGTATTATGTTACTTTGCATTCCCATATTAAAGCCTGAGTTCTTTATACTGAGCCTTTAGCACATCACATTTAGTTATTCAACAATTCTTTAGTTCAGTTTAATTAAAATACTGGATGGATTCTATGAATCTATGAAGTAGATTAGTAGACACAGAGATTATCAAGACATATTCCCTACCCTTAAGAACTCATATAGTATAATGTAATATAAGAAAGTCTCCTTTACTAAAAACTAAGGAATTTTATTGGATGAATGACATACAAATAAAAAAATTATAAATACTGAGCTTAGATAAGGAACCCGTTGAATACCACTTATCTCATTGAGTTGGCTTGCTATAGTTTCAATGTGTTTTCATTACTTTGCCAGGGGTCTAAGTCCAGTTCTAGGTCCTTGGGGCACTCTTTTCATGATGGCTGCACATCCAACTCCAGATAGAAACTGTGTTCTACGAAATACTCAACTGAACCACAGACCATGTGCTTCTCTGAAACCCTTTAATACATTATTCTTAAGCCCTTTTAACTTGAGTAAAGTCCAACAACTGTTATTTTTGCTGTTTTGGCTTGACTTACTCTATCTCACTGTTTTCTATACCCATAGGCCAGTAATTCCCAACTTTTTGTTCATCTAGACACAGCGCAAGATAAGTACAGCAATATCCTCCTGTGGGTGTAAGCAGAAGTTGTATGTGCTGTGTATCCCACATAAAACTTGAAGGCAAGGCTGAGAACCTCTCTTCCAGTTTGTGCTCAGAGAAATCTACTTCAACTCCCACCATAGCCTCTGTGTGCAATTAACCTTAAATTATCTCGTTTTTCTATACCAAAATTTTCAATTCAGCAACCTCTATGCCACCATGACTCTACTTTTTATTTATTTATTATTTTTAGGAGACAGGGTCTCACTTTGTCACCTAGGCTGGAGTGCAGTCACACGATCATAGTTCACTGCAGCCTCAAACTCCTGCACTCAAGGGATCTTCCTGCCTCAGCCTTCCAATTAGCTAGAACTACAAATGTATACCACCATGCCCGGCTAAATTTTTGTATTTTTTGTAGAGATGGGGTCTTGCTATGTTGCTCAGGCTGGTCTTGAACTCCTGACCTCAGGAAATCCTCCCACCTCGGCCTCCCCAAATGCTGGGATTATCAGCATTAAGCCACAGTGCCGGGCTCTTCTTCATTTTTTACCCGACTTCTTACTGTGTCATTACTTCTGGTCCATCATTAAATTATTATTCCCAAATGCACATTTCCATCTCAGAAAAGAATCTGAACAATTAAAGTCATCATATTTAGGGAAGTGATTTATCCATCAGTTATGCATATAGATAAATAGCATAGACTATCACACGCAGGTACATACATATACATCTTCAGACACATACTTCTGTCCTTTTCTGTACTAGACTCTGCTACCTTCCTACCTCTTCAGCCTTATTTGGAATCTAGCTAGGTAACAAGGAGGAATCCCTTAGTACAGATAATCCACAAAGCAGATATTATGCCAGTGGATAATGAAGGATCATTTACTATGCCATAATGAGAGAATCCTCTGATAAGCCACTGGACTTTTTAGATACAATCATAGGAAGAGAATGTGATGGGTCTTTATGAAATCCAAAAATGACTTAAAAAACATAAGGTAACTTTACAAATAAGGCATGCCAAATAATAGAAAACATTTTATATATGGTTTTTACAATTTAAAAAGTAACTCTTTAAAGCAGCTATTCTAGATGATATTGAATAATTCTGTCACCATGTATTTTTCTCATGTATGGATTATTACACTGAAGTACATCACTACTGAACTATCCATTAGAAATGCCTAACACATGAAGAAGAGTAAAAAATATTTGTATAGTCTTAGGTATAGCCTTTCTCCATGTACCGGGGGTAACTTGAATAGAATTTTTAAAACTTAAACAAAACAATCTCCTGCATGTGTTTGGTATCAAAAGACCACAACTTTAAATATAGCTAGAAGTATTTTGGCAACTTTAAGTAAGAAACATGAAATATATTTTTCATAATGATTACTGGATTAACTAGATTGATAGCATTACTTTTCCTGGAAAACTAGGCTTTAATTTTAAATGTGAACTACACTTTTTATTTATAAAAAAATGTTTTTGCCATTCCAATACATCAGTGTCATAAACACAAACTACAAATACAGTCTAGTTAAATAAAAACTTTTACATACGTGAGAGTTGTTTCCATTCTCGAGACTTGTTCAAGGTCTTCATCAGGGTCCTTGAATCCAGTAAAGGAGTAATAAGACTTGTCCCATTTGATGGGCCTGTCAGGCATCCTTTTAGCTTCTTTGAGAGGCTGGGTATGCACATTAGTATTCAAGCTTTGGATATGTTCAATAGATAAACTGCAGGAGTTGAGAATATATAATACTGTGCTTAGCAGATCTCTGGTGTGCAAAGTAAATTTGACTGCTCGAAATCCTAGAGAATATAATTCCCCCAAACAATTAATACAGATGATTATTTGCTTTATTTCAACATGTATAAAATCAAAATCTTTGAAAACATTCGATTACTGATTTAAATTTGTCCTATTAGCAAATCACCTGTAAATACAAAAATGACTTCCCTTCTCTAAAACTATACCACACAATGTTTTACCTTCGTGAACTCCTTCAATCATCAGCTCCATTTTCTAGTTTGGTTCCAGTGACCAAACCCATCCCAGCCCAACAAGGGGATTCAGAATATTCTCAATTCTGTCGATAAATCTGGTCTCTTAAGAGAGAGAAAAGCTCTCCTATAAGCAGGTGTACACCAAAGATAGTTTCTAGTGGAGACAGGGGAATACAGGTGTACACTGTGACAGCGGTTCAGGTAAGAGGGGCCATATAATCTAGTCTCAGTGGTCACAGAAACCCATCTTGAATTTTCTCTATGATTGAAGGAGATGGTCCTCATACTTGCTCACTTGACTAGGTAGTAACCCAATATTTTCAGGAGTGATTTAAAATTCTCTAGTTGTTTAAAAGTTACTCCTGTAATCCCAGTACTTTGGGAGGCCGAGGTGGGTGGATTATGAAGTCAGGAGTTCGAGACCAGCCTGACCAAGATGGTGAAACCCCATCTCTACTAAAAATACAAAAATTAGCTGGGCGCAGTGGTGGGCGCCTGTAATCCCAGGTACTTGGGAGGCTGAGGTAGGAGAATTGCTTGAACCCGGGAGGCGGGAGTTGCAGTGAGCCGAGATTGTGCCACTGAACTCTAGCCTGGGTGACAAAGCAAGACTCTGTTTCAAAAAAAAAAAAAAAAAAAGTTACTGATTTTGATGTTGGGTAATCATTGGACTAAGGTAAGTAATCTAAATTGTTAATTCATCAATAAAAAATCCACTGGTTTTGTTTTTTTTCTTTTCTGGGTGTTAGGCATGGTTCCAGCTTAATTTACATATCTTTTCAATCAACACTATCACCAACTATGCCATTATCATTTCTCCTGTCAAATGTGAAGGAACATAGATTAAGAATGAAGCCAGGGCTTAAATCTGAGTTGACACCAAGCCAAAAATTTTCTCCATACAACATGCTGACTCTTTGCTTTTAAAAAAATTTTTTAATTAGTTTTGAAAATTAAAAGCAAAAGTCTCCTGTTAGCAGGCATACAACTTTACCATCTTTACTTGAGGTAATCACTATTAATAGGTACATATTCTTCCAGACCTGCTCTGTCCAAGATGGTAGCTACTAGGACATGTGGCAATTTAAAATTAAATTGATTGAAATGAAATAAAAATTTAAAATTAAGTTCTTTGGCCACATTGGCCACATTTCAAGTGCTCAATAAGCACAAAGGGCTAGGGCCTGCCATATTAGATGATGCAGATATGGAACATTTCCCTCATCACAGAAAGTTCTCTTGGGCAGCACTGTTATTTGACCTTTTCCATCTATGTGCTTGTATGTGTGTACCACGTATGAGGCCAGGGCAGTGGTTCATGCCTGTAATCCCACCACTTTGGGAGGCTGAGACAGGTGGAGCACTTGAGGCCAGGAGTTTGAGACCAGCCTGGCCAACATGGTGAAACCGTGTCTTTACTAAAAATACAAAAATTAGCTGGGTGTGGTGGTGTACTCCTGTAATTCCAGCTATTCAGGCGGCTGAGGCAGGAGAATTGCTTGAACCCAGGAGGTGGAGACTACAGTGAGCCAAGACTGTGCCACTGCGCTTAAGCCTGGCAACAGAGCAAGACTCTGCCTCAGAAAAAAAAAAAAAAAAAGTATTTGCAACTTTTGTGATGACAGACACCACAATTCAAATCATTCTCACAGATACACGTTCTGCTTGCCACACCAACTTATGAGATCCAGAACATGCCAACTAAGAAATACTTTTTTTTAGTTCAATAATTTGGGGAAACTTAGAACTACTGGCAAGGGAATTATTCTAGTCAGTGAAGGAGGAAAGGAAAACCCAAACTGCTGCATTGGAGGTTAAGAAAAAATAGCTCATCCTCAGAAGTGCACAGTCAAGGAGTAAATCTGTTTCTATCTCAATTTATCAGCTTCATTATTTAATCCAACATAAGAGTTACTATATAGTAAGGACTGCTTGTACCACACTGCAAATATCCTTTACTGGTTCCTCAGGATACATTCCAAGAAGAATTTTGTGGCTTTGGGGAGAGAATGCCAAGCTGCAGAGTTTGTAGAGTTTGCACTAATTTATATACCCATCAATAATGTGGGAAAACGTATTTTTACCATTCATGGGTATTACCAGCAAAAAAAGAAAAAAATTAATGGGCAAAATATACTGCTTAATTATTTCAGTTTGCATTTGAATACTGAGGCTAAAGATTTTTTTTTTTTTGAGACAAGGTCTCACTCTGTCACCCACGCTGGAGTGCAGTGGTGCCTACCATCTTGCCTCACTGTAACCTCTGCCCCCTGGGCTCAGGTGATTCTCCTACCTTAGGCTCTCGAGTAGCTAGGACTACAGGCACGTGCCACCACACCTGGTTAATTTTTTGTATTTTTAGTAGAGACAGGGTTTCGCTATGTTGCCCAGGCTAGTCTGGAACTCCTGGACTCAAGCAATTTGCCTGCCTCGGCCTCTCAGAGTGCTGGGATTATAGGTGTGAGCCACCATGCATGGCCTAAAGATTTTTATATACTTAGCTGACATTTATATGTGTTATTTCTTGAACTGTCTATTCATTGTCTTTGTCTATTTTTGGAATGGAGCTACTCTGGTTCATTTTTAATTTGTAAAAACTCTTTATGTATAGCATCATCTTTTTGTCATATATGCTATATCTTTTCTCCCATTTCTAGTTTAATTTTTTCTGTACCTTTTACTTTTTTTTTTTTTTTAATGACAGTCTCGGCCAGGTGCGGTGGCTCATGCCTGTAACACTAGCACTTTGGGAGGCCGAGGTGGGCGGATCACGAGATTAAGAGATCAAGACCATCCTAGCCAATATGGTGAAACCCTGTCTCTACTAAAAATACAAAAATTAGCTGGGCGTGGTGCCGCGTGCCTGTAGTCCCAGCTACTCAGGAGGCTGAGGCAGAAGAATTGTTTGAACCTGGGAGGCAGAGGTTGCAGTTAGCCAAGATTGCTACACTGGACTCCAGCCTGGCGACAGAGCAAGACTCCGTCTCAAAAAAAAAAAAAAAAACAACAAAAACCAAAAAAAACAGTCTTGCTGTCTTGTCCAGTTGTCCAGGCTAGCCTCAAACTCCTGGGTTCAAGGGATTCTCCCACTTCTGTGTTCTGTGTAGCTGAGAGTACAGGCTTGTGTCACCATGCCCAGCTTTAAGCTATTTTTGTTTAAGAAATCATTCAAAGTTAACCATTAACTGAAAGTAAAGGATTCTGTTTTTACTCAGCCAGAGCTGGCTACAGCTATTTGTCTTCGCATTAATCCACAGAAAGCTCTTAGTAAATCTCTAACTTGTTTTAAAATTTATTCTAATAACAACATTTACTTCCTCATGAACCACCAAAAAGATATGGAGCTGAAGAAATAATTTCAGCCTTTAAGGATTTCGATGTATTAATAATGCTAAAGGTTCATAAAATTTCAGTAATGAAAATCACTAGTAAACATTTTACCTTATTACCATCTTAATTCTCCAAAGCTGATTAATGATTTCTAGTGTTCTAGAAATAAAAATTTTTAAAAAACCTACTTGATTTTAATTTCATAATCAGGTAAACATGTTACAGAAGTAAAAATGTTTTAAATCTTTGTCAGAGGGCCAATCTTTGTTATAAAGGCAAAAGGAAAAATGATTAATTACAGTATTTTAAAAGAAGAATTAATAGATAATGTGGTATACAAATCAAAACACTGGACTAGGAATAAGGAGACATTAGTTCTAGTACCAGCTCTGTCCCTAATTTGCTGTGTGAAACTTTCTAAGATTTCCACTAAGCTTTTAAATTCAATTTACTCTTTAACTCCATGTATATTCAATATTTAAGACAAATCGAGCTGATGGTGGTAGTAGAAAAAGTAGTTGTAGCTGTAGGAATGAGCTTGACTCTCTCAACCACATACAAATAAAAACAGATTGATGATAATATTTTTATTTTAACAACTATAAAGGATATAATCTGCCTCTAAAAATTCCATCTGTCCTCCTGGAGAAATCATGAAACCTAAGTAGACCACTATATATTAAGTAAGACGTTATTTAATTCCTAGCCTAATCTTGACCCTAACAGGAGCATATATCTATTAAAAATATTTATGAGTATTTGATTTTACACTAGTAACAATGTATCTCAGTTGCTTGAGACTCTCATGGCTAAGAACAGCACATTCACAATGTATTTAAACTTTCAAATAGAATTGTGTCACTTAGAGTGATCAACATGCTTATTATTCATTATTTACAGCATTCTTCAGTACAGCTGTTCCTTCACAAAAGGGCTATGAGTTGACTTTCTGTCTTTAAATATTGAAGAATAGGGCTATTTTTAATAAAACTCTACATCAGAGGTAAATGGAGAAACTGCCAAGAAAAGGAATTTGTGACTCCTGATCTCCCATATTCAATTATGAGACAATAAAAGGTAAGAGATCGTATACTATCAAATACTAGTCCCTGGAGAGACTGGGTGAGGTGTTGTCTTCAACATACTTCAGCATTCTTCAGATCAAGCTCTTCCTCCTTCCATTTGAGGTCCTGAGAGCCATGGGAAGGTGAGGTGTAAATTAGGGATCGTCCATGTGAGTGGCCTCTACACAGTTCTCCAGCTCTTTCATTTTAATAAATGAACACCCAAAAGTTAAAGGTCACACAGCTAGGTCACTGGCAGAGCTAGAAACAGATTTTAGATCTCAAAGACCTATCAAATCCTGAGTTTTATAGCAGTTTGTTTCAAAAAAATTACAGTGTATCCTGTTTTAGCCTTAACTCACAGAAAGCACTGACTTTTTAAATTGTCTTAAGTTCATACTAAAAATATATTTATTTCCTCAAGGATCATCAAAAGCATGTATAATTAGAGAAATGATAGGCCTTTAGTGACCTTAACCTAAATATTTGTCCTTAATTTTAAATATGGAAAAGCAGTGACAAAAGGCAGTGAAAAGGTGGCTGTCTACTAAGATCAATTGGATTTTAGAAGCAGCATAAGGTTGGAGTTAAAAGACCTGGGTTCAAGACTTATACTCTTTCTCTCTGGTCTTGGGAAAGGCACTGAACATCACTAAGTTACAATTGGGTAAATACTTCCAGCTTCAGAGTATTCGGAGGACTAAATAAGAGAATGCAAGCTGTAGTTTTTAGAAATACATATTGTTTGGACATGTTTAACACTTAAAATAACACTGAACTAGGAAGAGGACAAATAGGAACACTTTAGTTTTAGAAACAAAAAAGTTTAAACATGTAAAAAAATCACTTGTTCAAACATATGCAGCTAGGAATAGAATCTAATTCTAGGAAAACAATCAATTAAATGCTATTATTTTTTTATCACCAAAGTTTTGATCCAAAGGTATTCTGACAATGTCAAAATTAATGAACACATTTAACATGAAGCTTGCAAGGGACACACCAGAAATAAAAAACGTACCAGAAGTACTAAAAGGTTCCTGGCCATCAGAGGAACTCTGGTCTGTTTCTCTTACATAAAATGTAAGCTGAGTTGGTTTCAAAGACTTGAAGCCTGGTTTCTGGAGGTTTTCTAAGTAGACACTTAACCTTTTAAGAGAATTTTCATTGATTTCCTGAAAAAAAACATTAAGGGCATTTACATACAAAATAGAACAAGGAAATATCAGAAATGATATCTATCTAACCTTTTAAACACATTGAGAGTATTAAATAATTTAGTTTTAAATACTGAGAGTATTAAATAATTTAGTATTTAAAAATGTTGGGATTTCGTAGCTCTTTGGATCTACATCTCACAACATGTAACAGAATGAACTCCATATGGATAAGATGTAAAAAGATGTAACCACATAAGTAATAGAAGAAAACATGAATTCTTTTATAACCTAAATGTGGAAAATGCCAATGACTAAATATCCCAAAGTAATAAATAATAGTTTAATTTATTCTAATATGATGTTCTTAGCCACATGAGTCCTGTACACAAGTGTGGGATATTTATCGCCAGTGTAAGACTAAATCTTCATTATTTTTTGATAAATATTTCTATTTTTGCTGAAAAGTAACACAAGAAGGCTGGATGTGGTGACTCATGTCTATAATCCCAGCACTTTTTGGGAGGCTGAGGTGGGCAGATTGCCTGAACTCAGGAGTTTGAGAACAGCCCGGGCAACATGGTGAAACCCTGACTCTACAAAAAATACAGAAATTAGTTGGGCATGGTGGCACATGCTTGTGGTCCCAGCTACTCAGGAGGTTGAGGTAGGAGGATCACCTGAGACCAGGAGTTTGAGGCTGCAGTGAGCCCCTTGATGGTGCCACCACACTCCCCGCCTGGGTGACAGAGCAAGACACTGTCTCCAAAATCTTAAAAAAAAAAAAGATTATGTATAGGAAGTGAATAAGAATTGGGTAAAGGAAACAGGAATATAGGAATGAGACTTCTCATTAAACTTTAAATTTAGTTTTGATTTTTTTTTGAAAACTACAAATGTTTTGCAGATTTTAAAATTAAATTAAAGAGGATTTAAAAAAACCCCAAAAATCCGGTGCATCACTGTGAAACTCTGGACTTTGAGTTCGATGCTATGAATAGATGGGACTTTAAGCCAGTCTTCCTAAGAAAAGGGGCAAGGGTCTTCTCTAATAGTAGGAAGAAGACTGAACTGAACATGTGGTGGCAAAAAGAGTGACAAGAAGAGTGAACAGCCTTCATGGAGCTTGCATTTTAGTGAGGGGAGAAAAATAAACAACAAACCTAATAAATAAGGAAATAGGGTACATGGAAAGGAAAAAAAAAACCAAGAAGTACTGCAGGGTAAAAAGGGGAGGGAATGCTAGGAAGTAAAGCAGAGATAGCAATTTAAAATAGGGTAGTTTTAAAAACAAAACAAAACAAACACAAGTAATAGCGTAATCTGGGAGAGCCTCACTGAAAGGTGACACTTCAGTGAGAAAGTAAAGGACAAGCCATATCTGGGATATCTAGGAAAAGGATACTCTAAGCACAGGCTAGGGCAAGGGCTTGATACAAAGGAGGAGTCAATAAATACAAGTTTAAAGATAACATGAAAATGTAAACTTATCAGAACCATTAAACTCTAGGCACATTGTGTCAGGGGTCCCCAAGACCACTCTCAGGTTCAATGATTTACTAGAAGGATTCACATAACTCAGACAAGATGTTTTATTCACCATTATGGTTTATTACAACAAAAGAATGGAAATTAAAACCAGCAAAGGGAAAAGCTGCATAGAGCAGAATCAGGAGAGACCAGGTGCAAGCTTCCAGTTGTCATTTCACAGTGGAGTTTTATAGACAGTGCTTAATCCCCCCAGCAATGGTGTGTGACAATACGTGAAAAGTGTTGCCAACCAGGGAAGCTCATCCATTGGGTCTGAATGTCCAGAGTTTTACTGGTGGTCAGACAGGTAAGCATTTAGTGCTTATGTGACTTACTTTAGCTATCCAGTATCAGCTCCCTAAATCCCCCAGGTCAAATGAATACAGTGCAGTCCACGGTCTCAGACACAGGAAAACAGGTATTCACTATAAATCATATTGTTAGCATAAACTGTCTATCTGGTACGGTCTAACGCCTCAGGCAAACAGAAACATTCCTATCAGGTGGGATATTCCAGGGGCTCAGAGCTCATTTTCCAGGAGCCAAAGCTCAGCACTGACGTCAGACCTTTCTTTGGAATGTGCAAGGTTTAAGCAACCCAAGCTTGCTGAGTTAACACTTTACCACACGTAGAATTTTCTGTTGTTTGTTTTTTAAATTTACGAGATGACGTCTCACTATGTTGCCCAGGCTTGAACTCCTGGGCTCAAGTAATCCTCCTGGCTCAGCCTCCCTAGTAGCTGGGACTACAGGTTTGCCACCACGCCCTGCTGCATACAGAAGTCTTAATTTAAAAAAATACATTGGTACAATAACATTAAAGTATTACTAAGCTTGATTTTTCTATACATGTTGAATTTAAAAACTTTAAATTATTAACGCATCCCCAAGGTAATGAATATTTTTCTGTTGATTCAATTTACTGATTACTTTGAAAAGTTCTGACTTTGAGTAGCCAACATATGTATCAAATATCACAACAGAATATTTTCCTAGAAGCAAAAAAGCAAAGTAGATTTTGCATTGCAAGTAGAAAAAAATAACAATGTTCTAATTTTCAAGATTTCAAGTTCCTTTTCATATTAAACTAGATATCAGTGTTAATGAAAACAGAAGGAACCAATGAAGTAATTCCAAAGCACGTGGCTTTGTAATATATAGTAGTCCCTTGGTATCCACAGGGGATTGGTTCCAGGACCTCCTGTGGATACCGAAATCCACGAATGCTCAAGTCTCTCATATAAAATAGTGTAGTATTTGCAAATAACCTATATATATCCTCCCATATACTTTAAATCATTTCTAGATTACTTATAATACCTAATATAATGTATATGCTATGTAAGTAGTTGTTATCCTGTGTTGTTCAGGGAATAATGACAAGAAAGAGAAGTCTGTTCATGTGTAGTACAGATGTATTTTTTTCCCCTAATATTTTCAGTCTGAGGTTGGTTGAATCCATGGGTATAAAACCCATGGATATGAAGGATTGACTGAATTTTCTAATGTTAAAATATATTGACTGTCTTAACTACATCTACCATAAGCCATTTTTCATATCAGTTTGTATTCCTGGAGCACACATTAACTGATGTTGTAGGAGAGTGGTCCAGCAGCATGCATCATAAGGAAAAATCACTAGGGCATTGAAAACTCTTCCATGGATTTCTCCTTAAAAAAAAAGAGAGAGGCTGCTATTGGTCTATTTCAGGGATTCAACTTTTTTTCTGGTTTACTCTTGGGAGAGTGCATGTGTGCCAGGAATTTATCTCATTTTTCTACGTTTCTAGTTTATTTGCGTAAGGTGTTTATAGTATTCTCGATGGTAGTTTGTATTTCTGTGGGTCAGTGGTGATATCCCCTTTATCATTCTTTACTGTGTCTCTGAAAATTGAGGGCAATAATTAATAGCCTACCAACCAAAAAAAGTCCCAGGACCGATGGATTCACCAGTCGCCGAATCTCCACCAGAGGTACTGAGAGGAGCTCGGTACCATTCCTGTTCTGAAATATTCCCCAATCAATAGACAAAAGAGGGAATCCTCCTAACTCATTTCTATGAGGCCAGACACATCCTCGATACCAAAGGCCTGGCAGAGATCACAACAAAAACAAGAGGAATTTAGACCAATATCCCTGATGAACATCGACGCACAAAATCCTCCAATAAAACATACTGGCAAATCTGATCAGCCAGCAGCACCATCAAAAAAGCTTATCACATGATTCAAGTGGGCTTCATCCCTGGAGATACCACAGGGTTGGTTTCACATATGCAAATCACATAAAACGTAAATCCAGCATATAAACAGAACCAAAGACAAAAACCAATCATTATCTCAATAGATGCGAAAAGGCCTTTGGACAAAATCAGACAGCCCTTCTGCTAAACCACTCTCAATTAAATTCGATATTGATGGACACGTATCTCAAAACAATAAGAGCTATTTATGACAAACACGCCCAATATCAAACTTTTAAGCCTTTTTTTTTTTTTTTTTTGTCTTTTCCCCAGCCAATATCATACTCAATGGCAAAAACTGAAGCACTTCCCCTTTGAAAACTGGCACAAGACAGATGCCTCTCTACCACTCCTATTCAACATAGTGCTTGGAATTCTGGCTAGGGCAATCCGGCAAGAGAAAAGAAATCAAGGTATTAATTAGGAAAGAAGAAGTCAAATTGTCCCTGTTTTGCAGATGACATGAATTGTATATTTAGAAAACCCCCATCGTTCAGGGCCAACAATTCCTCACTTAGCTGATAAGAACTTCCAAAGTCTCAGATTAAAAAAATTCAATGTGCAAAAATCACAAGCTCTTTATAACCAAACAAACCCCCAAGGGACAAACAGAGTGCCAATCATGGAATGGAATTCCCATTCACCAATTGCTTCAAAAGAGAATACAATACTCAAGAATCCCAACATTCAAGGAATTAGTGAAGACCTCTTTCAAAGAAGAAAATACAACCATCTGCTCAATGAAAAAAAAGAACACAAACAAATGAAAGAACATTTCCACGCTTCCATGTAGGAAGAACCCATACCTTGTGACAAATGGGCCATTACTGCCCAAGATATTTATAGATTCAATGCCATCCCCATTAGTACCAATTGACTTCTTCACAGGAATTGGAAAAACTGCTTTAAAGGTTTATATGGAATTCAAAAAAGAGCCCGCATTGCCAACATCTAGTCAAAAGAGCAAAGCTGGGAGGCATTCCACGCTACCCCTGATTTCAACAACTCATACAAAACAAGGCTACAGGTAACCAAACAGCATTGGATGCTGGTACCAAAACAGATATAGCCAATGGAACAGAAGAAAGCCCTCAGAAATAATATCAACACACCTACATCCATCTGATCTGATTGACAAACCTTTGACAAAAAACAAGAATGGGGAAAGGTTCCCTATTAATAAATGTGGTGCTGGGAAAATTGGCTAGCCATAAGTAGAAAGCTGAAAACTGGTCCTTTCCTTACTCCTATATGAATTATTAAGATGGGGATAGAGACTTAAATGTTAGGACCGTAAAACCATAAAAACCCTAGACAGAATACTAAGGTAATATCCCATTCAGGACATAGGCATGGGAAGGACTTCCGTCTAAAACACCAAAGCACGGCAACAAAGCAAAATTGACAAAATGGGATATAATAAACTAAAGAGCTTCTGCACAGCAAAGGAACTACCATCAGAGTGAACAGGCAACCCTACAAAATGGGAGAAAATGTTTGCAATCTACTCATCTGACAAATGGCTATTCCAGAACCTAACAAAAACCTCAAACAAATTTACAAAGAAAAAAGCAAACAACCCCATTTCAAAAGAGTGGCAAAGGAAATGAAACAGGGACATTCCCTAAAACAAGACATTTATACAGCCAACAGGACACTCATGGGTGAAAAAATGCGTCGTCAGTCACTCGCCATCAGAGAAATGCAAATCAAAACCACAATGAGATATCAAAACCAACCAATGAGAAGACTACCATATCACACCAGTTAGAATGGCAAATCTTAAAAAGTCAGGAAACAACAGGTGCTGGAGAGGATGTGGAGAAATAGGAACACTTATACACTGTTGGTGGGACTGTAAACTAGTTCAACCATTGTGGAAAACAGTGTGGCGATTCCTCAAGAATCTAGAACTAGAAAACCATTTGACACCAGCCATCCCATTACTGGGTACATATCCAAAAGGATTATAAATCATGCTGCTATAAAGACACATGTACACGTATGTTTATTGCAGCACTATTCACAATAGCAAAAGACTTGGATTCAACCCAAATGTCCATCAGTGACAGACTAAGAAAATGGTGGTACATACACTCTGCATGAATACTATGCAGTCATAAAAAAGGATGAGTTTGTGTCCTTTGTAGGGAAATGAGATGCACGCTGGCAAACATCATTCTCAGCAAACTATCACAAGAACAGAAAACCAAACACCGCATGTTCTCACTCATAGGTGGTAATTGAACAATGAGACGACTTGGACACAGGAAGGGAACATCACATACCAGGGCCTATTGTGGGGAGGGGCGATGGGGAAGGGATAGCATTAGCAGATATACCTAATGTAAATGACGAGTTAATGGGTGCAGCACACCAACATGGCACATGTATACATATGTAACAAACCTGCATGCTGTGCACATGTACCATAGAACTTAAAGAATAATTTAAAAAAAATAAAAAAGAGAGATCGATCATGATAATAGAGGTCTCAAGTTTTCTTTCAAACCCTCAACTGTACTTCAAAACTTGGTGCCAAAAACATGATTACTAGTACTCTAAAGAGTTTAAATGACAGCTTTATTGCCTGCACAAAACAATGACAGCTTTGATAAAAAAAGCTCTATTTTCAATTTTCGGTATCTACATTTCAAATTAGTTCAAAGCATTGATTATATCACTACAACAGAATAATCCACGTTTATAGAACTCTATGTATTATATTGTATCAAAGGTAAATAAGCAGAAATGTACACTACTGGTTTAAAAATAAATAAATGTTTACCCTTTCTACGGGGTGCTGTCCAAAGAAATCTGGATGTACTGCAAAATAGAAAGGCCTCAAGGCATTGACTGCTTCAGCTCCTGATAAAGCTCTTGAATAGGGAAACCAGTGTGGAAATATCTTCTCTAGACATAACCTTTTAAAAAGATGTGGGCTGGTTATTCATTGAGGCACTCACACACACACAAATCCTCAATGTATAAGGTGACAATAAAATTAAACGTACTATGCACAGCAGAAACAAGATAGATACTTCACAGTTTTCTGAAATCTATTAGTTTTACAAGCGGTGAGTACCACATGATTTCTAAAACAGTGGTTATAGTTTTTTCTTGTGCAAAATGAGAAATATTAAATAATATTATAATTTCCCCTCAATACTCCACTTTGAAATTCAGCTGACTTCACTGCAAATGGTAACAATTTCCTTTCTAATTTTCTTATTCAGATAAAAAAATCTTAATATCCAATAGTGTAATTCTCTCTCTATATCTATATCTCTCTCTTTACATCTATCTCTTTCTCTTTCTTTCTTTCTTTCAGACAGAGTCTTGCTTTGTTGCCCAGGCTGGAGTGCAGGGGTGCGATCTCTGGGGGTCAAGTGATCCTCCCACCTCACCCTCCCAAGTAGCTGGGACTACAGGCGCCTGTCACCACACCCAACTAATTCTTTTGCTGATCTCAAACTGCTGGCCTCAAGCAATCCTCCCGCCTTACCTTCCCAAAGCAAAGGGATTACAGTCATGAGCTACCATGCCTGGTTCAATTTTTTCTTTATAGTAGCAAACATTTTGATAATTATTATACTTAAAAAGAGATACAGATGTCTTTTAGCTCATTCCCTCATTATTAGCATGCTAAAATTATACTAGTTGGATAACTTGATATTCTCATTCTTTTTTTTTGAGACAGAGTCTTGTTCTATTGCCCAGGCTGGAGTGCAGTAGCATGATCTCAGCTCACTGCATGCAATCTTCTGCCTCTTGGATTCAAGTGATTCTCCTGCCTCAGCCTCCCAAGTAGCTGGGACTACAGGCGTGTGCCACCACTGCCGGTTAATTTTTTTTTTTTTTTGTATTTTTAGTAGAGACAGGGTCTCACCATGTTGGTTAGGCTGGTCTCAAACTCCTGACCTCAGGTAATCCACCCGCCTCAGCCTCCCAAAGTGCTGGGATTACAGGCATGAGCCACCACACATGGCCGTGATATTCTTAAGTTTTGTAACCCACTTGAGAGTGTTTTTTAAAAGTACAGTGTTTAAATCCAAATGAAATTATTTGCGGTTTTTTGAAAGCACTTCCACGACACCTATTTTTAAATGTTATCATTTACCTTTTCCATCCTAAGCTTTTATTTATTTATTTATTTTTGAGACAGAGTATCACACTGTTGCCCAGGCTGGAGTGCAGTGGTGCGATCTTGGCTCAACCTCTGCCCCCTGGGTTCAAGAAATTCTCCTGCCTCAGCCTTGCAAGTAGCTGGGATTACAGGTGCATGCCACCATGCCCAGTTAATTTTTGCATTTTTAGTAGAGACAGGGTTTTGCCATGTTGGCCTGGCTGGTCTTGAACTCCTGACTTCAAAGGATCTCCCTGCCTCAGCCTCCCAAAGTGCTGGGATTACAGGCGTGAGCCACTGTGCCTGGCCCAACCTAAGCTTTTTATAATGAAGTCTCTAAACATTGCACATGCCTCTGTTCTCATACATTAGGTGTGCCAAGTCTTTAAGTTTTATGTTTTTAAAATGGTAGAGATTGTGGAATCATTTCTGGTGATTTTTAAACAATCTGGAGACCACCAATCTATTTGCAGATTATCTTTTATTCCTCTCATATATTTGAACCTTTTATAAAGTCAATATATGGATTTGTACCTCAAGGATTAGAACAGGAGTTTAAAGCAAAGGAAACAATCAGCCAGGATTAAATATGAGCTAGTCTAAGTAAACCACAGTTGCAACTCCACTTATCCCTCTGAGCTTCCATTCTCATTTCCCAGCGTCTGACATACACTTAGCTCTCCTGCCAGCTGCTCAAATCTTGCGTATCTAAAAAAGGAGTACAAGTCATTATTGTCTTTTTAAATTCAGCCTGGTTACAGAAGGCCAGGCAGCAGCTAACAACTCAATCCAGGATTATCTTCCTTATTTTTGTTATTGTGGTACCACCTTTCTCAATGTTGTAAAGCACAAAACCCAAATTAGTTCACTACCCCCATTCACTTTCAGTTAGTAAAGTCTTCTTACTTTACAATGTTCAATGAAATCATTCCTTCTTCCCACGTTCTCTGCTATCAATTATCATCACTACAAAACTAGACTGTACAGTCTCATAATTAGTCTACTCTGCTGTCCCTTTCTCTAGCTATATTGGGTATCACCAACAGATTAACTTTCCTAAAATCCCACCATCACTGTATTCCTTACTCAAACAGCTTTGGTGGTGCCCTAATTCCTGCGAATAAATCCACTCCTTAGTCTGGTATTTGAAACCCTCTTTCATTGTTTCCCCATCTGTCTTTCCAACTTGATCTCCAATCATTCCTTATAGAAACCCTTAGTTCCAGGTCCCAATAATCTTCCTCATTTTCCCCTTTCTGTCCTACATAATTTCTAAGTCCTAATGCATCCTCCCTGACCTGCATTTTCACCTATCCAAACTGAACAATTACTGCACACCTGTCATGCTCCAGGAGGCATTGTATCTATTCCCCCAGAACCTTCCCTTCTGTATTCTCATTAGTATCTCCCTCTTTTAAACTCTAAAGAAAAGAAACTGTGTGCCCTAGATGCTTGAAACGTAATACCATAAAGTGAATTGTGTTAAGAGGAAACTTGATCTGTTTTTCTGTTTAAGCTTTTCACACCTAACTATTCTGAAGGACAGTATTCTTTTCACCTTCTACTCTGAATGTACTCTTGGAGGACCTGTCTTATATAAATTTTCTTTACTTTTTTGTTCCAGCTTTCCACCATAATATAACTTCAGAATTAGAAAAATAGTAACAAACTGAAATAAACCAAATGCATAACAGACCTCCCCCGCCACCCCCACAATACTAATTACAGATTGGACCATGATACTTACCTCCTCATAGGTCTCAGGTGGCAAAACATTTCTGAATATATATGTACGTCAACTTCCAGGCATCCATTAATTGCTTAAAAGTTAAGCAGATATCACAAATGAACAAGTAGAATTTTAAATGTAAAACACATTATGATTTATATTATCACCCCAAATATGAAATACTTAGTTATTAATCTTATAAAATATGTGTAAGATCTAGATAAGGAAAACTACAAAACTCAGATGAAGGAAATAGAAAGACTAAATAAATGGAGAGATACTCCACGTTCATGGATAGGAAGACTCAATATTGCCAAGATGTCATTCTTCCCAACTTGATCTATAGATTCAATGAAATTACAATCAAAATCCCAGCAAGTTAGTTTGTGGATACTGACAAATGGATTCTGAAGTTTATAAAGAGAGATAAAAGACCCAGAGAGTAGCCAACTCAATAAGGAAGGAGAACAAAGGTAGAAAAATGACACTACTTTTTTTCAAGACTTACCCTAAAGCTACAGTAATTAAGACAGCACGGTGTTGGTGAAAGAATGAATAGAACCATGGAACAGAATAGAGAGCCCAGAAATAGATTCATATAAATAAAGTCAACTAATCTTTGGCAAAAGAACAAAGGCAATCCATTGGAACAAAGACAGCTTGTTCAACAAATGACACTAAAACAATCGGACATCCACATGCAAAAAAATTAACCTGGACACAGACCTTACATTTTTCACAAAAATTAACTCAAAATGGGTCATATACCTAAATATAAAATGCTATAAAACTCCTAGAAGATAACAAAAGAGAAAATCTAGATGACCTTGGGGATAGAAATGACTATTTAGTTATAATACCAAAGGCACTATCCAGCTTAACTGGTAAGCTGGACTTTGGTCAAACTGAAAAATTCTGCTCTGTGAAAGTGTCAAGAGAATGAGAAGAAAAGCCACGAACTTGGAGAAAATATTTGCAAAAGACACGTCTGATAACAAACTATTATCCAAAATATACAAAGAACTCCTGGCCGGGCGCGGTGGCTCACGCCTGTAATCCCAGCACTTTGGGAGGCCGAGACGGGTGGATCACGAGGTCAGGAGATCGAGACCATCCTGGCTAACACGGTGAAACCCCGTCTCTACTAAAAACACATAAAAAAAATTAGCCGGGCGCGGTGGCAGGCACCTGTAGTCCCAGTTACACGGGAGGCTGAGGCAGGAGAATGGCGTGAACCCGGGAAGCGGAGCTTGCAGTGAGTGGAGATCGCGCCACTGCACTCCAGCCTGGGCGACAGAGCAAGACTCTGTCTCAAAAAAAAAAAAAAAAAAAAAAAGAACTCCTAAAGCTTAACAATGAGAAAACAAGCAACCCAATTAAAAATGGGCAAAAACCCTTAACAGACACCTCACCAAGAAGACATACAAATGGCAAATAAGCACATGAAATGCAGTTCAACATCATGTATCCTCAGACAATTGCAAATTAAAACAAATGAGATGCCACTGCAAATCTATTAGGATGGCCAAAATCCAAAACATTGACAACACCTGCTGGTAAGGATGTGCGGCAACAGCAATTCTCATTCACTCCTAGTGGGAAGTGAGGATGCAAACAGGTGCAGCCACTTTGGAAGACAGTATGGCAATTTCTTACAAAACTAAACATACTCTTACCATACTATACAGCAATAGTAGTCCTTGGTAATTTACAAAACAAACTGAAAACTATGTGCATGCAAAAACCAGTGCACAGGTGTTTATAGAGGCTTTATTTATAACTGCTAAAACTTGGAAGCAAACAAGATGTGCTTCAGTAAGTAAATGGATAAACTGTGGTACATCCAGACAATTGAATATCATTCAGGCTAAAAAGTCAGGGAGGAAACTTAACTGGATACTACTAAGTTAAAGAAGTCGGCCAGGTGTGGTGGCTCACGTCTGTAAGCCCAGGACTTTGGGAGGCCGAGGCAGGTGGATCACGTGAGGTCAGGAGTTTGAGACCAGCCTGGCCAACACGGTAAAACCCTGTCTCTACTAAAAATACAAAAATTAGCCTGGTGTGGTGGAGGGCGCCTGTAATCCCAGCTACTAGTGAGGCTGAGGTAGGAGAATTGCTTGAACCCAGGAGTCAGAGGGTTGCAGTGACCCAAGATCGTGCCGTTGCACTCCAGTATGGGCAACACCAGCAAAAACTCTTGTCTCAAAAAAAAAAAAAGTCAATCTGAAAAGGTTATATACCTGTATACTGTATGATTCCAAGCATATGAATTCCAAGCAGTCTGGGAAAGGCAAAAAGTCTGAAGACAGTACAAAAAGATCCATGGTTGCCACGGGTTAATCGATAGGGAGGGATGAACAGGCAGAGCTCAGAGGATTTTTAGGGCAGTGAAACTATTCTGTATGAATGATACTACAATGGTGGAAGCATCATTTGTCAACATTTGTCAAAATTCTTAGAATGGACAACACCAAGTGAACCCTAAGGTAAAGCATGGACTTTGGGTGATAAGGATGTGTCAATGTAGACTGACTGTAATAAATATACCATTTTGGTGTGGATGCTGATAGTGAGGGAGGTTATGTGTAAGTAGGGATGGGAGTATATGAAACTCTCTTTACTTTCTGCTAAATTTTGCTGTGAACCTAAAATTGCTCTGAAAGTTAAAGTTTATTTTTAAAACAAGCTATGGAGATAAAAGTGGGGGAAAGGATTTGAATCACATGAACTTTTCCAATAATTTAGATCTTTAGCAAGATATTCGAGTATATTATGGTCTCCATATCAACTGACCAAATGATTTTTAAAATCCTATGAGCAGTACCTTATTAAAATTTTGCAAGGCCCTATTATTCACATAATAACCATCAGGTAAAAAATTATTTTCTCCCCTATGTAATTGAGCTCTGAGCTTTTCCTGTTCTCCATTATTCCATTCTAGTGGAGAGCTGCTGAGTAGCACGTTCTCTCAAAACAATCATCACATGGCTAAAGTCCTATTCTGTCACATCTTAAGTACCAAAATGTTTTTATTATATATACATATATATATCTTTATATATATAATAGATATATAACATAATATATACATAACATATATATAAGTGAAGCAGTGAATATATGTGAAGTAATCTAATGAAGCATAACTGTTATTAATAGAATGATAGAAAATTTTAAATGAAAAATCAGGAATTATCTTTTTAAAAAGTACATTCTTAAACAAAAATGGATACTTCAATTTATTTCTAGGTTGACTGACGTGGCAAGAGTTTCTTGGAGACAGAATGCGTTTATAGGTATCCATTTAAATACTAAAACGGTGGGTTGGGCACGGTGGCTCATGCCTGTAATCCCAGCACTTTGGGAGACTGAGGCAGGAGGATCACCTGAGGTCAGGAGTTCGAGACCAGCCTGGCCAACATGGTGAAACCCTGTCTCTACAAAAAATACAAAAATTAGCCAGGTGTGATAGTGGGACCCTGCAATCCCAGCTACTTGGGAGGCTGAGGCAGCAGAATCACTTGAACCCTGGAGGTGGAGGTTGGAGTCAGCCAGGATCACGCCACTGCACTCCAGCCTGGGCAATAGAGTGACACTCTGTCTCAAAATAATAATAATGATAATAATAATAATAAAACAAAATAAAATAAAATAAATTTAAAAAGGTGATTTTATTTAACCATGAACATTGATATTTTGAGACAAATACAAAGATATAGAAAATACTTCTACCATTTCAAAGATTTCTGAGATCAAATGGAGACACAATGAGGAAAAAAAAAAATTGGGGGCTAGATGCAGTGGCTTTTGCCTGTAATCCCAGCACTTTGGGAGGCCCAGGCAGGCAGATCGACTGAGGTCAGGAGTTCAAGACCAGCCTGGCCAACATGGAGAAACCCTGTCTCTACCCAAAACACAAAAATTAGCCGTCCATGGTAATGTGTGCCTGTAGTCCCAGCTGCTTGGGAGGCTGAGGTAGGAGAATTGCTTCAACCCGGGAGGTAGATGTTGTAGTGAGCCGAAATTGCGCCATTGCACTGCCTGGGCGAGAGAGTGAGACTCCATCTCAAAAACAACAACAACAATAAAAAACACAAAAAAAATTTGAACTATTTGAAGGTTCAGTGTTACCTGTGAGGGACTGAATTCTCACCAAACTTCATCATAAGGTGAACAAAATAACCTAGATTTAGTTAAGACAGCACAAGTGCCAGACCCCAAGCTTGCAAAGAAAAAAAGACTAGAAAAACATGCAATCTGTAACAATGGCTATCTCTAGGTGGTAGGATATTAAATGTTTTAATTTTGCTTCTTATCTCCTATATTATTTATAACAAACATGTGAAATATGTTTTTTAAAAAAAATCATCTGCATATGATGGTTCCCACTTGTAATCCCAGTAATTCAGGAGGCTGCAGCAGGAGTATTGCTTGAGGGAGGCCAGGAGTTCAAGATCAGCCTCTGGGCAACATAGTGAGACCCTGTCTCTAAAAAACAAGAAAGTAGCTGGGTAGTGTTGTCTGTCTGTAGCCTCAGCTACTCAGAAAGCTGAGGTAAGGATGGCTTCACTCTGGGAAGTGGAGACTACAATGAGCTGCAATCGTGCCACTGTATTTCAGCCTGGGAGACAGAGCAAGACTCCTGACTCAAAAAAAATTAAAAAAAAGAGAAATAAAAAGAAGGAAGTGGGGCCTTTGGGAGGTAACTGTCAGGCCTCTGAGCCCAAGCCTGCACATATACATCCAGATGGCCTGAAGTAACTGAAGAATCACAAAAGAAGTAGAAATGGTTCTTGCCTTAACTGATGACATTACCTTGTGCAATTTCTTCTCCTGGCTCAGAAGCTCCCCCACTGAGCACCTTGTGACCCCCGGCCCCTGCTCCCAAGAGAACCACCCCCTTTGACTGTAATTTTTCACTACCTACCCAAATCCTATAAAACTGCCCCACCCCTAACTCCTTTTGCTGACTCTCTTTTCAGACTCAGCCCACCTGCACACAAAGCCTGTTTGGTGGTCTCTTCACACGGATGCATGTGACATTTGGTGACTTGGACCAGGGGATCTCCCTTGGGAGAGCAATCCCCTGTC